GGAAGGACTGGGGAGTGAGGGTGTTGGGGTGCGTTATGTGAAATTCTCAAGCAATCAAAAATATGTTGTAAAAATATTTGTAGAGGTTGGATGTGGTGGCACATACCTGTAATTCTAGCATTTAGAAAATAGAGGGTGGAAGATGAAGAGTTCAAGGCCATCTTTGGCTCTGCAGATAGTTTGAAGCCACCCTGCGATAAATGATATTCACTTACAAAACAAACAACCCAGGCATGGTGCCCCATGCCTTTAATCCCAGAACCCAGGAGGCTGAATTTGAGACCAGCCTGGTCTACAAATTGAGTTCCAGGACAGCAAGGGCTACACAGAGAAACCTTGTCTCAAACAACGAACAAACAAGCAATACCCCTTAAAGCAAAGAATATATGCAGAATAATTAATATTGATTAATAACCAATATTGAGTATTTTTGTCTTTCATTGCTATAACAAAATACCTAAGATAAAGAAGGGGAAGATTTTTGGTTGTGGTGGTGTATCCCTTTAATCCCAGCACTAGGGAGACAGAGGCAATCAGATCTCTGTGAGTTCAAGGCCATGCTGGTCTACATGGTGAGTTCTAGGCCAGCCAGAGCTACCCAGTAGGGGTGAGGGGTTGGGAGGAGACAGAAGGAGGGAGGGAGAGATTATTATCATTGATCGTTCAAAATTGGTCAAGGAATATGGAAACCTGGATTCTGTATTGACTGTCCCCAAATAGTGCTTCACCTCGAGATGAACATAAAGTCCAAAAATATATTTGCTATTAAATGAAGATTCATCATAGTTCATTAGAGAGAACCCCAGGTTGCAGGGACCAGAATCCAGACTCCTAGCAGGAGCAGAGACGGTAACTAGCAGAGGAACCTCAGGCAGGCCAGGAATGTCCAGAATCTCCTTTGTGAAGCGAAGGAGTTGGATATAGTTTCCTATGGCTAGCTCCCTCTCCCCAAAGACTTCTCAAAAACTGGCAACTGAGAAACCAAGGATTATAAAGGGGCTATTTTCATAAGAGGATTAAAAGATATAAGCTCTACCCTAATATTCAGAGGTACAATGGGAAATTGCTCCCATTAGAAGGTATTGAGTTGAGATATTAATATTCGCACATTGAACTAGTCCTGATGTGGATTATCAAGTATAATTTGAATACTAAGAACCAGAGATTGGCAGCTGTATATGTCCAGGTAGATTGTCTTGGCTTTTGGGAAACAGAGATTGGAAATCTACTTTTAAAACAAGTCAACAGGTGTCTCTTATAATCTCTGTAATTTGAGAACCATTGATCTTGCATATATATTTTCTTTGACACCTGATCACAGATTTGTTAAGGAGTCTAATTGTCTTGCCCAGCATTTCTCCGTAATACAAACATGTCTATCTTCTGAGTCAGGTGTGGTGGTACACCACTATAATCCTAGCTATTTGAGAAGCCGAGGCAAGAGGATCACTTGAATTACAGACAAGCTTAGGCAACATGACTAACTGAAAAAATTTAGCTTTTAAAATTTAGTGAGTGAGTGAGTGAGCGTGCGTGCGTGCGTGCGTGTGTGTGACATGAATTCACAGACAGTGCATATGTGGAGGTCAGCGGGCAGCTTTCATGAACCAGTTCTCTCCACTTTTCGTGTGGGTTCTGGGAATCAAACTCATGCCATCAGGCTTATGTGGTAAACACTTTACTTCCTGAACTGTCTGGCCTGCCCCATATTTCCATTATACAAATAATATAATGTTATTGTAACATATCTGGAATGTGCAGAAAAATAGAAGACAAACCATTCAGACAACTACATTTTAAAAAACACATTTTTTATGACAACTATTCATAGTCTCAACAACTATGTTTCTTCTTTTTTGAGTTTAACATCTTAACAAATACTTCCTCGTACTATTAAAATTACTCTTCAGTAACATTTTTCTTTGAGACAAGGTCTTACTCTGCTGTGCGTGTTGCCCAGGCTGACTTTGACCTCACAATTCTCCTGTCCTGGCTTCCCTAGCATGAGGGACTGTGTTGAAGGTATGCCTCATGGTAATGTGTTTGCCTACTATACTTCAGGCTCCAGGTTGATTCCTGGAACTACCAAAGAAAGACAGTTTTAAAAGAACAGAGTAACTGGGATGAGCAACATCTGGCTTTGCAATAATAACTTTTAAAGAATAGTTTCTGGGGTATACTGCAAAGAGATGTTGGCTGGGTAATCCCTTGACTACTATTTGCCTGCTGACCTTCCTTCCTTCCTTCCTTCCTTCCTTCCTTCCTTCCTTCCTTCCTTCCTTCCTTCCTTCCTTCCTTCCTTCCTTCCTTCCTTCCTTCCTTTCTCTCTCTCTCTCTTTTTTTTTTTTTTTTGGGGGGGGGGTTGAGACAGGGTTTCTCTTGTGTAGCTTTGCACCTTTCCTGGATCTCACTCTGTAGACCATGCTGGCCTTGAACTCACAGAGATCCACCTGCCTCTGCCTCCTGAGTGCTGGGGTTAAAGGCGTGTGCCACCACCGCCCGGCCTGCTGATATTTCTTAAGGATCCACTTTTCTTATGATAAAATTAATACCTATTCTCTGTAGGAAACATGGAAATGCAGGCAAGAAAAAGAAAGCAGAGCCAAATTCTACCATCTGTGACAGGGCCTCTCACTGGGACCTGGGGCTTGCTGATTGGCCAGTGGCCCCCAAAGAGCCTCCTGTCTCTGCCTCCCCTGCACTGAGATGACAGGGCCATGCCACCATACCTGGCTTTTTACACGGCTGTCCAGGATTGAACTCACTTCTCACTAGTGCCACAAGCCCTCTGCTGAGCCGACTGTCTCTTGCCCCTCCTTGAATTCTTAGTAGATGAAAATGAGGGGTTTGGATGTACTTAGTGGAGTCGCTTCTCGGCCGTGTGGCTAGGATCAAGTGGAGATGTACTTAGGGGGTGGAGGGGCAACCCTGACCCTGCTTGCAACCAGAGCACTTGCTATTTTTGCTTGTTTATACATCTTGGTAATGATTTAAACAAATGTTCCTCAGCCAAAACTTATTTGAAAATCATTGACTCACATGAATTACAAAATCCCTCTCCTCCTATTATCCCAGGGTAATAATCTCCTTGGGTTTATTATTATTATTACTATTACTATTATTACTATTATTAAGGAAGTAGTTTTATTGGCCTTCTAAGAAGAATTATTCCGTGCTGGGAAATTGTCTTCCCCTTTAGTGTCTTCCGA